TTATTATTAACCCATTGCGCCACTATGGGTTCCACCCTTTTTTGTTAGCACAGCTTGATCTTTGTCCATATACACAATTTTCTCAATAGTCTGAAAAATTTGATCTTTTTACAATTCATAAAACCTTTCGCTCCCTCTGTCGGTGGTTGCCAAAGTCAGGGACATCACACAAGAGCTAAGTTATGTGCTGGTGCTTCAGCTTTCACTTTCATTCAGCCAGTGCTGGTTGTAGAAGAGCCACACAGAGCAAGAGAGGAGCAGAAAGAGGAAGACATAATATTTCAGCTTCTTAGCATTCCCTCAGCAACAGGTAAACTTTTTCTTTTCTTTTGAGCATTACCTGTCTTGAATTCTTTCCAGACGTCTGTGGTACAAAAAGCTATGTCTTAAAATAAAAAGCAAGGGATAGATGTCTTAGAGAGCAAAGCAGAAGCAGAGTTATTCGATCAGAACAAATGCAGATGGCATGTCACCTCTAAACTTTATCTCAGTTACTAAATACCACTGACTGTTAAAATTTGGAAAGACACTGTTCTCATCACATTAGGTTGGGTTAAAGTGTAGCCAGCATTCTTTTCAAATGTTTCATGAGGTGGTGGGGAAGTGGATTTTTTGAAATGATCCAGATGATTGGCCATTTCTGTAATATGATGGCATTTGTTGCTCCCAGGTTTAAAATGAAATGTTTCCCCAAATGTGGGAGGGGAAATTTTGGGAGGAGCCCAAAGTACCCTTGTGAGGGAAAGCATTACCTTTTACTCACCGAATTTTTACTTTGTCAGAACAATTTCTTTTTTTAAAAAAATAGCCATTCTGGATCTTCCCCTCCCCTTCCTTCTGTGATATATTTGTGCCTTGTGTTGCATGGGAAAGCCAGGAGAGAAAGGTAATGATGATGATGATGATGATGCCATGTCTCCATGCTGTGCAGTCCTGGGAGTCATAATTTTCTAAAGTCCTTACCCTTCTCTTGGTAAATTTACAGTATGGAATGAATGCCATTGCACCCTACTTTAAATGCCATAGCTCCATGTGATGGAGTCCTCCTGGGAGCTATAATTTCTAAAGGTCCATACCCTTCTGGGTGCATCTACACTGGATAATAAATGCTTTGGGGACCCATTTGAAATGCTAGCATTCTTGTTGTTGTTGTTCTTGTTGTTATGCCATGTCTACATGCTGTGCAGTCCTGGGAGTCACGGTTTTCCAAGGTTCATACCCTTCTCTTCATGCATTTACAGTATGGAATGAATGCTCATGCACCCCACTTTAAATGCCATGGCTTCATGCAATGGAGTCCTCCTGGGAGTTATAAGTTTCCCAAGGCCTCATACCCTTTTCTGGGTGCATTTACACTGTGGAATGAATGCAGTTGGAACTTACTTTAAATACCATGGCTCCATACTATGCAGTCATGGAAGCCATAGCTTTCCAAGGTTCATACCCTTCTCTTGGTGCATTTATGATATGGAATGAATGCCCTTGCGCCCCCTTTAAATGCCATGGCTCCATGCGATGGAGTCCTCCTGAGAGTTATAGTTTCCCAAGGTCCATAACTTTCTCTTGGTGCATCTACACTGTGGAATAAATGCAGGTGGACCTTACTTTAAATACCATAGCTCCATACTATGCAGTCATGGGAGCCATAGCTTTCCGAGGTTCATACCCTTCTCTTGGTGCATTTATGATATGGAATGAATGCCCTTGCACCCCCTTTAAATGCCATGGCTCCATGCAATGGAGTCCTCCTGGGAGTTATAGTTTCCCAAGGTCCATAACTTTCTCTTGGTGCATCTACACTGTGGAATAAATGCAGTTGGACCTTACTTTAAATACCATAGCTCCATACTATGCAGTCACGGGAGCCATAGTTTTCCGAGGTCCATACCCTTCTCTTGGTGCATTTACAGTATGGAATGAATACACTTCCACCCCACTTTAAATGCCAGGGCCCCATGCGATGGAGTCCTCCCCTCCTGGCAGTTATAGTTTCCCAGAGTCCATACCCTTCTCTTCTCCATACTATGCAATCGCGTGAGTTATAGTTTTCCAAAGTCTCCACCCTTCTCCGTGGGACAGGAGAGAGAGAGAGAAAGAGAACGAGAAAGAGAGAAAGAGATAGAGAGAGCATTGCCGCTTTCTCTCCATTCCTCCTTGCTTTCGGAATTGAAGACATGTAACAGCTGACATGTGATCTTGTGTTATTAGGGAAGCATGTATTAAAATTCTCGTTACTTCTTTCCCCCTCTCCCCGCACAGAACGGCAAGCCCCATGGCCATGGAAGACTTCAAGGCAGCCATTTATGAAGGGAAGGTGACAGATGCTGCGTCTAATGTGATGGGGAAACCACTGCAGTATTTCAGCGAAGTGCCACTCAACATCGCTGTAGTAGGAGAGCCAGGCTCTGGAAAGTCCTCCTTCGTCAATGCCATGCTGGGCTTATGTGCAGGTGATCCAGGAGCTGCCGAGACAGGCATACAGACAACAACAGTAGACGTCAAGGCTTTCCCACATCCACATCTTATAAATGTCATTTTTTGGGATCTCCCAGGAAAAGGTGCAGCATCTTTTGGTGAAGATGTTTTTGCCAAGATCGACTTGAATCGCTTTGATTTCTTCATCATAGTTGGTGCCCAGCGTTTCCGGACCATTCACGCTGACCTGATCAACGAGATCCAAGGAATGAGCAAGAAGTTTTACTTTGTGCGTAGCAACACAGACCTTGATCTGGAAGCATCCAAGAGGCAACGGCCTTCTGATTACAACGAGGAGAAGATTCTCCTGAGAATCAAGGACGATTGCCATGAGGGACTGCGGAGAGAAGGAGTGACTAATCCACAAGTCTTTCTAGTATCCAGTTATGAAACCAGCCGCTTTGATTTCCCCCTCCTTTGGGAAAGGCTGAAGAATGATCTCTTAGGGCTGAGGAGGAAAGCTTTTCTGCTCAATTTGCCCAGCATCTACCTGCCAGTCTTGAACAACAAGAAAACTGCCATGAAGAAGCAGATTCTAACCAGAGCCCTTTGGTTATGGATTTTTGCTTCTATTCCCATCCCAGGCCTCTCCTACTTTCCTGCCAGAAAGGTCCACTCCTGGTGTTATCATAACTTTGGCCTAGGTGATCCATCACTCACAGATCTTTCTCATGTGGTTGGCAAGACAGCAGCCACCCTTAAAACAGTAATGAAGCCCCTGTCTTTCACCTCTGTGGTTCTATGGAGCTTTGCAGAATTGGTTAGAGCTGTGGTGATAATAGGAGACTATACCCACTACCAACGTTTCCCACTTTACGGATACCTACTATCAGGAGGAATTTCACTTCTTTCCACCTACATCATGTTAAAGAAATTTGTATCCAATGCTACCGACAACACCCAAAGTGTTCTGACTGAAGCTCTGATGCGTGAGGAGAAGAAGTCCATTTAGCTGCAAACATCGACATTCACAACTACAGTGATATTAGACTATGCTGGACACTGGTGGTTCTTAACTCTTCTCTTGCCAGAAAAGGACTTTGACACCATGCAATATGTTTAGCATATTGATTACATTCCAATCTACATAGTAGAAGTGAGTGTGCCTGTATGTTCCTTCACCATAACTCCAAGACAATGAAGTCTAGATACCTTATCATAGCAAGAATACACTTGTGAAACTGGAGATGTGATCCTCAATATTGTTTGTTTTAATGTTTTAATAAAGAGAGCCAGTACGATGGTTTGAGCATTGGGCTATGACTCTAGAAACTAGGGTTTTTATTTCCTTTATTTATATCCCGCCAAGCCATAGAAACCGCCTAGGTGACCTTGGGCAACTCTTCCAGCCTCAGAGAGAGGCAAAAGCAAACATCTCCTGACCAAATTTTGCCAAGAAAATACCCCTAATGCAGTGTTTCTCACCCT